TTTCCGTCGCAAATTTCGTCGCTAATCCGGTGTTTTTTTGTAGTGCAGAAAATTTCCCGAACTTTTATATCCTCTCCAATGTTCTTCTAAATCTCTCTCTTCTCTAGGCTTGATGTCATTAGAAATCTAGAATTTCAGACCTGATTCGATAAAGATGAGCTAATCCCGCAAGCATACTATCCACTTGCCATTCTCAATGAATCCTCTGAATCAGAAAGCTTTTTTGAGATCAGAGTATGTTAAGATGGGACAAACGGCGATTGTGTTTGGATAGCATAGCTCTCTTGAATTTTCATGAGTTTTCCTCTTAACTTAACGCCCCTTGTTTCCTTCGCCCTCATCGTCCTACAAAATGCCACTCGATCACACTCAAGCCAACACTAATCCACCTAATTACGAAGTCAACAACCCAACAAGCATGGACACCAAGATTGGCTCGCTCTATTCGTGCAAGCCCCCATGCAACGGCGTTGGCGGCCCCCAACGACGTGGCCTTCTCCATACAACCCTCCCACGCCCCTCTGAGGCCACCCTCAGCCACCACCTGGCGTACCGGCTCGACCAGATCGGCGTTGGTGATGTGTCCTCCATCCTGGGGACTTCAACCTCATGAGCCATGACCACCTCCTCGCCGAACCAGGCCTCAACCTCGTTGGCTGCAGCAACGAGCTAAACGCAGGGTAAGCCGCCGACGGCTACGCACGGTTGCGTGGTGTGGGCGCCTGCGTGGTGATGTTCACCATCGGCGGGCTCAGCATCATGAATGCGATAGCCGGCGCGTACAGCAACAACCTGCCGCTCATCTGCATCGTCAGTGGGCCCAACTCCGACGACTACCGCACCAACAGGGTCCTCCATCACACCATCGGGTTGCCCGATTTCACCCAAGAACTGCGGTGTTTACGGACTGTCACTTGCCATCGGTTTATTTGAATCAAGCACTTGGTCAGTGACAATGCCCATGCTTTGATTTTTGTTCTTTTCTTTTTCTTCTTCTCTCATGCTCTCTTTTTCTTAGAAATCGCAGCACTCAATTTCAGACTTTAGTGGGTCCATTATTCCTAAGAGGGGTCAGTGCAAATTGCATTGTTCAGTGTAGAAGGGTGTTCTTCATTAATACGAGTTCCGTTTGTTTCGCAAAAAATATATCATTTTTGGAAAATACTTTTCAGGAAGTCATTTTTTTCATTTTCCAGTGTTTGGGTACAACATAAAAAAAAAAAGGGAAAATTACCAAAAAAGTCCTAAACCTTTTGCAATTGTGCCAATTCAGTCCTAAACCTTTTTTTTTTGCCAATTCAGTCGTAAACCTTTTGCAATTGTGCCAATTTAGTCCATCCGGCCACTTTTGGCCGGCCGGCGTCCACGTGGCAATATTTTAATATTTTTTTATTATTTTCGAATTTTTTTTCCTTTTTTCTTTTTTTTTTCTTTTCCTTCTCCCCCCACGGCTGTCCGGTCGAGGCTCGCCGGCAAGGGTCCGGCCGGCGGCGAGGTGGGCCCTCGCCGCCGGCCCAGGCGAGCTCCGCCTCGCCCGGGCCGGGCGAGGCTCGCCCGGCGGTGGCGAGGCCCGGCTCGCCATGGGGGCGAGCTCGCCCTCGCCGCCGCTAGGCGAGCCTCGCCCGGCTCCGGCGGCGAGCTCGCCACGCCATGGCGAGCTCCGCCTCGCGGATACGGGCGGGCGGGCTCGCCCGGCCATGGCGAGCTCACCCGGCTCCGGCAAGGTGGAGCTCGCCTTGGCAGGCGAGCTCCGCATCGCCGGATACGGGCGCGGCGGAGCTCGCCCGGCTAAGGCGAGCTCGCCCGGCTCCGGCGGCGGAGCTCGCCTTAGGCTGGCGAGCTCCGCCCTCGCCCAGTCGGCGAGGCTCGCCTAGCGGCGGCGAGGGCGAGCTCGCCCGGCCATGGCGAGGTGGGCCCTCGCCGTCGGCCAGGCGAGCCTCACCCGGCTCCGGCGGCGGGCTCGCCCGGCGGCGGGGCCCGATTCGCCTCACGGAGGCTGGGCCCGCTGGCAGCGAGCCTCCCCTGGCCGGACAAGCCAGGGGGGAGAAGGAAAAGAAAAAAAAAGGAAAAAGGAAAAAAAATTTGAAAATAATAAAAAAAATATTAAAATATTACCACGTGGACGCCGCCGGCGGCCACGTCGGCCGGCCGGCCAAAAGTGGCCGGATGGACTGAATTGGCACAATTGCAAAAGGATTAGGACTGAATTGGCAAAAAAAAAAAAGGTTTAGGACTGAATTGGCATAATTGCAAAAGGTTTAGGACTTTTTTGGTAATTTTCCCTAAAAAATAACCTGGAAACTATTTTCAATTATTTGGTAAGAAAATGTAATGAAAAAAAATTATCAAAATAATTCATTTTTTTAAAATTTTTATATACTTTTTCTTCTTCCTTAGCCAGCGACTGGCCATAGACGAGCTCCAACCTCGCCGACCTAGGGCGAGCTTGAGGCTCGCCGCTAGAGGCCGTGAGCTCGCCCAATCTGGCGAGGCCCAAGCTCATTACCAGAAACCTGTAATGTCATTTCTCTTATTCCAACATTCTCCTATTGGTATAAAATTTCATTGAAGTCACCAATACAAACCCTAGCGAGATGGTTAACGGAATTCATAATGCGTAACTATTGCCACAGTAGGAGTCTCTCTTGATAATTTGGAAATGCTTGTAAAAAGGTAATCCTCATCGAGTTTCCTCTTTCAAGATCTTTACATATCACATCAAAAAATTCCCCGGTGTTGGATTGTACTTCTATAGAAACTTCTTCATTCCACATAATGGCTAACCCTCCTGCAAATCCCATTGGATTCATCACCACAAAGTTCTAGAATTAGAGATGTCACCTAACACGTTCCACTACTGTCTCTTTTATTCTTTGTCTCAATCAAGAACACCATATCGGGCCTTTCAAGAACCACTAAGGCTCAATGTCAAGGTTATGTCCAACCCCTAACAATTCCAGCTCAAAGTTTCATATAACACCTTGGTGGCTTATTAGGGCTAGCCACCGAAGCCCAATCCTTCGCTCCTTCCACCACTTGAACGAAAGGATCAAGTATCATATCATTATCAATGGAGTAGGAATTACTCCCTTGATTGAATCTCTTTTGCTTCCTAGGCAAAGGGGTTTTTAGCCCAATTCTTCCTTTTTTCAACGACCCTGAGGAAGAACCCAAGTTGGGAGATTCAGGCAGCAAGATTTGTGTCCCCTGTCCACCTTTCTCCGTAAGTGCAAGTGGGAAAGCCTCACCTCCTGTTTTCTCTTGAAGAGATTCTCCTCACATTAGTTGCTTCTCTATCACAAGTGTTACAACTTTTACTATTATAGAGATCATGAGATAAAATATATCTGGAACTACCGTAATACCAAAAAGGTAAAGAAGCCATAAAAAGAGAGCGTATGATTTGTTGATTTATGAAATGGATTGAAATGAAAAGATGTTCTAAAATTTGGGCAATAATGTATTATGAAAACTTGTGAATAGTATCAAAGGACTATTTATCTCTTCGGTCTAAATAGAAGGACTATTTGGCTTTGTTGCATTGAGTGAATGTGAGTCCAAACTCATATATACCGTTGGATGAGATGAGATCCAAGTACAACTCACTTGATCTAATACTGCCGGTGAGTTGAGCTCACCGAAATAGTTCCTCGCGGTGCATACAACAGAGAAGTCTTCGAGTGCAAACTCCCAGCCAAATGCGAGCATCCTCTCTCCATGTTAATTTGAAAGGGCAATTGCAAAGGGATTCCTAAAACTCGTTACGATAATAAATTTGAATCCTAAAATTTTCATCTCGTGCAACAATAAATAAGCATGATTCTTGCTTCTTTTGACTCTCCTCTTTGTTCTTGTTCCTGTCTCGCTCTTCCTTGCTCCTTGTGAGCGGAGCCTTGGGGTGGGGTCGATCCAAAGGCATCCAGTGCAGCAGTCATGGGCCCACCGGATGTCCACGTCATTACTTTGCTTAGTTTTTGTTGCGAAAATTCAACTCGGCATTAGCATAAATATTACAAACAATACAGTATTGTAAAGAAACGAAATTGCAATAACAAAGTTGGAATCGATACAAATGAATACCGAGGCCTGTGTTTGACACAGTTTCCTTAAAACAGATTCGTTCCCTCCCAGTACGCGATCGAGGTTTCGTGAACGTCTGTCTCCCAGGATACAACGGTTGACAGCGAAGAAGAGAGCACGGCACTTCCAAGCTTCCGGCGAACTTGAACAAACTCGAAATGAACACTACCGAAAACAGTGCAAATGCAGAGAGCGTGTAAAAACAGAGGAAGAATGATTTCGATAAAAATAGAACGCAGGGGAGAGCATTTCGGGAATAATAACGGCCGATTAAATCTGTCGTTACAAAATCAATACGAATAACGGACGATTAAATCTGCCGTTATAAAATCAATACGAATAACGGACAGTTTGAGTTGAAAAAATAAATCAGAAGGCAAAATTGGACTCGTCGCGAGGCCCATTTTTCGGTCCTGCAATCGTGCCCAAGTTTCAACTTGTCGGGCGTCGGATTTGCACCCCCCCTGCGCCTGCGCGCGAGGCAGAGAGTTTGTGCTATGATAATTACCACTTCAAATAAGTGTAACTGTATATAAAGCACTCCATAGCCTTCTTTCTTTTCCGACGTGGGAATAGTGTTTTTTCACTTCCCACTTCCAACTCAAGGGTGTTCTTTGAGCATCAATTTCTCATTCATTCACCCATCAATTTATCCCATATTTCCAACAGTTTTTACTCTTAAAAACAAAAAATCGAAAGGCTCTCTACCTACTGGAATTAGAGAACGTCCAATCTTACTCCAAAATTTCAACGTTATCTCTCTCAACTTCTCCTCTTATCCGATTGAATTAATGGTCGGAAACATTGACAAATGGCGCTCCAAGAAATCCCTCATTCCACGGCATCATCTCTTGACGAATGAGAAGCATGACGACATTCAATTTCGAAATTATTGCATCGTAACGAGTTGAGCCGACTGCTATGAAAATCGAACTCAGTGAGTTCCTCTATTTATATACCAAAGCATGAACATCAATACAAGTATGTATCCGTATATACCAGAAGCATAGGAGGCCACGGCCAAATCAAACGTCCTAATGCGCCGATAATGAAAGAATAACGTAAGCAATATAATCAACATGACCAAGAACTAAGAGACGCCCAAGAAAACACTCAATGCATCGCCCGTAGAATGATCATCTAAAGATCCTCCAGTCGATGTCGCACTTCTCGGTCTGGAAGGCGGTGGCCGCTGACGATGACGAGGAGCTCAGAGGGACCTTCAACCCGCACTTGATCCTCGGCTTGATGCGGAACGTCTTGATCCTGCCAAGCTTGAACCGCACCCTCAGGTACAGCCTCATGTCGATGTCGTACACCCCGGCCGCCGTCTCGGAGTTGAAGTCGCTGAGCCCGCCCGATCCGAGCACCACCACCTGCTGGCCCTCGAACGCTTGGCTAAGCGTCGTGGTGTTCTTGTGGCCCTGGTAGAACGGGGTCAGATACTGGGAGTCGAAGCGCTGGCCCGCGTACAACGGCCGCGCCTCGATCCGGTCGTAGTAGATCCCGATGCGGCGGTTCGGGTTCCGGATGGTGAGGTTGAGCTTCAGGTTGTAGTTGAGGAGGGTGTTGCCGGTGGTGAGGTTGAACTGGGTGAGCTCGGCGTCGGTGACGTGGAACTTGACGAGGTTTGGGCGGAAAATGAGCCAGAAGATGAGGGCGAGGAGGCCAACGGCGACGACCACGGTGAGGACGAGGTCGAAGATGAGCTTGAGCAGGCAGCAGCCGCAGCCGCAGGCGCAGCCCCCGCCGCGGCCAGGGCGGAGGTAGGAGTGCTGCTTGGGGGGCACGGCGGGGCCGTAGTAGGTGCCATTGAGGTGGCCTTGCTTCTCAGCCATGGGGGAGGAAGTTGCAGACGAAAGCAAAACAATGGAGACGACGCTGGACTGAGATGAAGACGAAGATGAAGATGGAAGATGGAAGATGAGGGATGAGTATGGAGTAGGCTAGGGTTTATATATAGGGGTTGAGTGCGAAGTGGGAACTTTGCGTCGCCGTAGTGTTGGTTTCGTAGGTGGAGTTTTTCACGCGTCAACGCGGTTTGGCTGCGAGTTTTAGGAGGGGAGGATGGCGTGCGGTAACTTCCGTCGACTCGTTTGTCTGCAGGATTGTGTTGAAAGTGGGACCAACCTAGGTCTATCCCGCGTGGTGTTACACCTTGGTACTTCCACATATGTCGACCATTAATTTATGAAATTAAGGTTTCTTTAATCACCGATTTGAATTTGGACACAACATGTGGAGTAGAGGATCTTTGTCTCTTAAAAGTGGGTTATGAATTGCAAAGTGAAAGCCGGAAATTGAATTGGCGCGTGGCATTGAATGCTCTCATTTAAGAGCGGTGGATGAGTTTGGTAAACTAATTTTATGATTCGGTTTCGGTATTTATTACCGTTTTTCTAGTCCTAGTTCATCATATCAAATCAAATTAGTCCGACATGAATAATTATAAAAGAAAAATCACAACCGTTTGATCTTTTACTCGGTTACGCTCGACATCATTTGAATTCAAAATTCTTATTTTATATGGTCTAATACCAAGATTTTACCCTTTGTATCTCAAAGTTTGATAGAATCATTACGTGTTGGAATGTGAAGCAGAAGCCCGACACTTTTTTTTTTGGGTCGAAATAAAACTACTTTATCTCAAGGTATCAGGCTGCCTATGTTTAGAATTAAATTGGCATCAATGCAAAATGTTTAGGACTTTTTTGGCACGCAATCAAGAACTCTCGTTGTACTCTATCATGAGCTTTCTACATATCAAGTTTAAGTATCGCCCAGAAATTCTTCATTCTTTTCCTAATCCCCAGTTGGTACAACACTTCCTGAACTATCAAGATGTTGTCTTGAATTTAGCTTCCACTAACAAAGACACTTTGTTCCATAGCAATCAGTTTAGGAAGCCAAGGTTTCAAGCGATTTTCCATAAGTAGCTATAATTACACAAGCTGATAGGTCGAAATTGACTTATATTCTCAGGGTTTGAAACTTTGGGAATAAGTGCAATTTGGGTTATGTTCAGATTGAGATTGAGAATTCCTAAGTCAAAGAAATTGTGAACCATTCGAAACACATCTTGTTGAATATCTCTCCAGTGATGATGATAAAACTCTACCCATCAAGCCCATCCGGTCCTGGAGCCTTCGACACACACATTTGGAACATGGCTTCTTTCACTTCCTCTAAATTCACCTGAGTCATCAAAGCCCCATTCATACCTTTCGGAACTAGACATGGACATTGCTCAATGACTGGTTGAGTTTTTGGGACCCCCAGATGTTGGTCGGCCCGTATGGCTCGGCCGAGCGCCCTAGGATCACTATAGCGAGATATTAACGATACGGTAAAAGAATGGATAGAATTTGTGCACCTGATTTGGATTCCATCGGCTTGGATGCGGAAATGACGATGAACCGGTGCCGTAGGTCTTCTCCCCTGTCACCCCCGAAGTCCCGGCGCTATGAGACCGCCTCAGCCAACTCATGGAAGCCTTAGGTGAGTTTGAGAGCGTTTGAGAGAGATTGAAGAGAGTTAGGTGCAGAGGAGGGACCTGCAGCTCTATTTATAAAGTTTCCAGCCAGGCCCTCTCATAACGGGCCGGGCCGAACTCGGCCCACACAAGCCGGGCCCATATCTGACCAATTAAGAAACCTTATATCCAAACTTATTAGACCAGACCGTAAGCGGATAATAACAATCTCAATTAATGTAACTCACATTAGGAAAACGTTACACCAGATTCATACAATAACCGATAGAATCTGACAATATGTTGTGTCAACATACAAGGCTCGCGACCCCAATTCAGGTCATCAATTTTCAACAGAGAAATCTTGTTCCGTTTTCTTCTTTGAAATGTAGTGGCATGAAAATATTTCGTATTTCTTTCTCTTCATTTGAGCTAATTAATTCGTGATCTCATACTCTCACTACATTTCTTCTAACCTCCATAATATATCAATATGGTCTATGATTTTGTGAGTAGCCTCCTTGGTCGAATCATCTGTTTTGCGATGAGTGAGATCTGTAAGTTTTTTCCTGAGAAAATCAATTTGGCACCAATGCATTGGAGAATTTCCTTTTGCTCCATTCTACCACTTCATCGGAAATCTTTTTGGATTTGCCAATAAAATCCATTTGATTCAAATTTGGGTCATCCAGACCTTTCTAATAATCTTACTACACTCTGTATTTTCTAACTAGAAGGCTTCGAATTTGAATTCTTTCTTCCTTTTCACTGAAGCTGGAGACAGAGAGAAGCATAGATTTAACCAAAAAAAAGAAGAGAGAAGCATAGGGCTATGGTTGAAACAAATCGCTGGCAAAGCATAGGCTTTGACATTAGGAAATATCACATTCCAATCCAAATTTCATAGGACCCTATCCAATCTTTTTTTGACAAGAGCATCCTCATCTCTATTGTTTGCCCACGTGAAGGCACATCCTTTACTTTCCATGTCCATAACGGAAGAGTCATTCAAAAGATCACAAAATGCAACTAACCTATAATGGTCCGTTTTTCTTTTCCCAGCCTTACTGATAAAATTTCATTGAAGTCACCAATACAAACCTAAGGGAGATGGTTAATGAAATGGATAATGTGTAACCGTTGCCATAGTAGGAGTCTCTCTTGATAATTTGGAAATGCATGTAAAAAGGTAATCTCCATCAAACTTCCTCTTTCAAGATCTCTACTTATCACATCAATAAATTCCCCGGTGTTGGATTGTACTTCTTAAACCTCTACATTCCACATAATGGCTATCCCTCCAACAAATCTTATTGGATTCAGCACCACTAAAGTTCTGGAATTGAAGACATCACCTATCGCGATCCACTACTGTCTCTTTGTTCTTCGTCTCAATCAAGAACACCACATTGGGCCTTTCAAGAGCCATTAAGGCTCTAAGTGACGGGAATGTCAATGGTGTACCCAACCCTTGATAATTCCAGCTCAAAAATTTTATATATATCTCGGTGGATTATTAAGGCTAGCCACCAAAGCCCAATCCTTCGCTCCTTCCACCACTTGAATGGGAGTATCAAGTAATTCATATCATTAATGAGCAAGAATTACTCCCTTGATTGAATCTCTTTAGCTTCTTTGGCAAAGCGGTTTTTAGCCCGGTTCTTCCTTATTTCAAAGACCTCGAGGAAGAACCTAAGCTGGGAGATTCAAGCAACAAGATTTGTGTTCCCTGTCCACCTTTCTCCGTAAGAATAAGTGCATAGTCTCACCACCTGTTTTCTCCTTAAGAGATTCTCCTTCCATTAGTTGCTTCTCTATCACAAGTGCTGCAATTTTTAGTATTATAGAGATCATGAGATAAAATATACCTAGAATTATTGTAATATCAAAAAGGTAAAGGAGCAATAAAAAGATAGCGATGCTTTGTTGATTTATGAAATGGATTGGAAATGAAAAGATATTCTAAAATTTAGGCGAATATATTTTGAAAACTTTGGGAAAATTACTAAAAAAGTAATAACTCGATTACAATTGTGTCAATTCAGTCTAAAACCTTTTTTTTTTGCCAATTGAGTCCTAACAATTCAATCCATCCAGCCAATTTTAGCAAGCCAACGCAAACATGGACGCCGGCCAGCGCTGACGTAAACAATTTTTAATAACATTTAAAAAAAATTTCCGAATTTTTTTTTTTACTTTTTTACTTTTTCTTTTCTTTTCTTTCTCTTTCTTTTTTTTCTTCCCTTGTTATTCCTCTATTCCGTCGTCGGACCTCAGCGAGAGCCGGCGAGGTCGACCTCGCCATGGATGGATGAGGCTAGACTAGTGAGGATGAGGGCGAGGGCATGGCGACGGCGAGGTCGATAGATTGAAATAATCAACAAATGAACTCCAGTCTAGCGTCCTTAAGCAAAACCCACACGTCTTCCTTAGCGTGCCTCAACCCCCTGTCCTCGACCACATTAGCTTCGATCTCGAAAACCCTAGATCCTTCTCTCCTCTGTGTCTTTGTCGGTCCTCGGCTTCTTCGCCACCAGTTTGGCATCCCCAAAATCCCCCTTCCGCTTAGTGTTTCTTGAGACCTTGAAGACTCCATTTTCGTCACGAGGCGAGGTTGGCCTCGCCATGACTAGGCGGGGCTCACCCTAGCCAGCCACTGACGAGATCGACCTTAACAAGGTCAGGCGAGACTCGCCCTCACCAGTGACCTGCGAGGTCGACCTCGCCGGCCCTCGCCTCTAACCTGTAGCTGAGGTCCGGTGACTATCTAGAGAAAGAAGGGAAGAAAAAAAAAAGAGACATAAAATTAAAAAAATATATTAAAAATTTAAAATAATATTGAAAGTTGTCCACATTAGAGTCAGCCACGCCACGTACGACGGCTGGCGTTCATGTCAACGTCGTCCAACAAAACTGGAAGGAATGAATTAGCACAAATACAAAAGGCTTAAGATTCAATTGACAAAAAAAATGATTTATAACCGAATTGGCACATTTGAAATACGTTTGGGACTGTTTTGGTAATTTTTCCAAAAACTTTTGAATGGTATTGAATGACTATTTATCTTTTTGGTCTAAATTGAAAGACTATTTAGCTTATTCATCTCGTGCATTTAAGTCTTAAAATTTATCGCAACCTGTCACTTTATTCCTTCCGTAAGCTATCGTTCAATTTTAGGGTACACTACAAAAAAACACTGGATTAGCGACGAAATTTGCGACGGAAAATTTGGAAAAATCCGTCGCAAATCGAATTAGCGACGAATTTTGCGACGGAAAAAATTCCGTCGCTACTAGGCCGTCGCAAAATTTTGCGACGGAAAATTTAAAAGTTCATCGCAAAATTGCGACGAAAATAAATTCGTCGCAAAATTCGTCGCAAAATTAGTCGCAAATTAGCCACGAATACAATCCGTCGCAAAATTCGTCGCAAATCGTCGTCGCAAAATTAGTCGCAAATT